ATAACATCTGCACAGTATATTAAAAGACTGAAGCATTATATAAGTAAAGTTCTTTATTGATGACAATAATAATAAAGTTTGCAGGGAAATTTAAAAAAAATATTCTGATAAATAACAGACAAAGTGAAGCTACTATAACAAAATGGAAATAGAGGAAGACTGTATATGTGAAATGGAGAGAGCAGCCAGAACAGCTATATGACATATCCATTGCCAACTGTGGAAAATTATAAATTGGATCACTTCTGGAAAAACTGTGGACCCCCTTTTAACTTATCATACCATATTGGAAAAAAGCACAAATATTTGACTACCATAACAAATTCTAAGAGCAACAACAACAAAAAAATACAGTCACTGTAAACCTCAGCATAGCAATGAGGATATATATACACCTCTGGAAAGACACACTTGGAAAAATTTTCAGGCACATCTTTGTTAAAAAAAAGAAGGTAACAATACATAAGAAAAATGAAAATCAAAATATTATAAAGTGTAAGACTGGGAAAATAGTACGCTGAAGTAATAACTCAGAAACTGAGTTGCAGAACAATTTGGGATGTTTTGTAGACAGTGTTTTCCTGGCCATGCTGCCTAGTTGAATAAGCTGTAGGAAATGGAGTGCTACTACACTGGAGGTTTTAGGCTGGAACACTCCTAACGAGGTTCTCCTGCACTCCTGGAAGGAACCACCATCTTCAACGCATCCCTAGTTTTAACACTCATTTTGGTTTCTTGGCAGTTTTGAACAAAATACTGGATTCTGAACTGTTCTATGCATCTTTGTGAGAATCTCCCTTGGTACTTTCTTTTTCAAGATGAAGTGGTGTGTACATGACTGTGTGAAAGAGAGGGAGTATAGTTTTAGGTCCTTCCTCATCTTTACTAAGCATGGGAATGACAACATGGGTAAAATGACTGGCAACTATACTGCATTTAACCTCTTGTCAAATAAAAACTAACAAGAAGCAAACAAAAAACACTGTTAAGAAAGAGTCTACAGTCTGTTACTGCAGACAAAGTGATGCCCCACATCTAACATGTATTCATCAATGGTCCTTTGGATATGGCCTTTTATTAATCTCATCCAGAATACCCAACTCAGCATTTGTACATTTACCAGTGATTAAGTATTTCAACTAGTTCTCAAAAATATGAGAAATCCCCTAAAGCTGGGGTCTACCAAGTGATGGAAAATATTTTGTTCTGGAAAATGTCTGGAAAACTTATTTTAGTTTGGCAGTATTTTTACACAAAATTAGCTCAGCATACTAAAATTCAAACGTAGCAGGGCTGCTGCTCTGCTATTAAAATTTTGTAGAGAGTTACGTGTTCCCAAGCCTCAATTAAAGAGCAGTGATGTAGATAACTGTTCACACTACCTGTTCTCCAGGCTTGAAATCTTGAAGCGCTACACACTCACAGCGGTCATCTTCTAAGTTGTAGCCTGTAGTGATCTAACCAAGGAAAGAGTAACAAAACCACCTTTAATATTTTATATTTCTCTCTCTCACCATTGGCAAAACATTGTCCTAGTGGAAACAGGTATTAAAAATGGGAACTGTTTTTTTCTCTGCAGAATGTAATACAGCTGGTAGTGATTGTTCTACTATTCCTGAGTAATCTCTTTAGAAAAAAAAAAAAAAAAAAACACAAAACACAAAACCAAAAACCAAACAACCTCTACATTAAAGAAATCTAATGGAAGAAACAACTTAGCTGAAGTGAACAGAAGCTCTGAGGAAAGTACCCTCAGTAGAGCACAGACAGTCCTGTGCTAGCTTGTTACAAAGTTCGGGAGCTTTCAGTCACTCCCATGAGGACCAAGGGAACAAGGCACTGACAGCTCTATAGGCTGTGCTTTATCCTTCAACTGCCAGCATATTTTTGATCTCTCAATGAAAAAGGATTAGATAAGTGTGGATCTTTAGGGGCTACAATCTTCAGAGAATTATAATTTACTTGCAAATAATCCCTTTATCTAAAATTTAAGTAATACTTGTAAAATGCTAAAAGGATTTTTTGATGGCAGCAGGCAATGGAAGAGGATAAACTCTCTTAACAAACCTATGCTTCTCTGAAAACAATTACGAAATTATAAAGGGGTAACAGTAACAGGTAAAGCTATCCTAAAAATGCAATACTTTTTTAAAGTGACAAGCAGCATGTTCTTAGATAGTATTACCAAGGATGCCAGCACAGGTGCAGCCACAGGGTGGGACATAAGCTGCTGAACAATCAGGAAGCAACTTTTCTGGTAGGTATTCTGGGTTCAGTACTGACAGAGCTCACTTATGGAAAGATATGGTCTTGGCCTGGGGGAAAAACCTAGAAGAAGCTGAAGATTCTCTCTCAGCCTTTGTAAATGAAAACATACTTTTTTGTAAGCTGACCACTATTTGTGTTGCAAAGTATTGATTCCCATCTTGGATGCAATTTGTCCAAAACCAGAACTCCAGATTATTTTTAAAGTGTGGTTGATGGTTTACATGCTAATAGTTTTATGCTGCTTGCACCATCAAGCATGCACAGCCAAAAGAGTGCTTTCAAAGTGAGCATGGAGAACCCGTCTCTAGTGCACCAAATGTAAAACAGCAGCACAGGTGGCCTGCCCCTGTGGAGGTCTGCAGAACAGATGCCACCACTTTAGGTCAGTTAATGAGTTTATGGTATGCTGAAATCAGAAGAGAACACAACAGTCATGCAACACAGCCTACTGCAAAACACAGGCTGTAGTGCTTGAACACAGAAATTCCTCTACCGTCACTATGCTGAACTGAATAATTTCTAATTAAGGTCTCTTGTTTGGAAGGTTATCTAACCCTGAAGTGCAGGTTACAAGTGCTAGAGGATTTACCTTTGCTCTGACAAATGTACCTTCTGAGTTCAAGCACAGTCATCTTCTGAAAAACTAACTTCCATTCAGAAAAGGGAACTCTTGACAACACTTGACCTGTCCAGAAATTTTCTTAGTGTGTAAACTCAATTAAATACTTCTGAATGTGAGAAGTTTGTTCCAGTCTCTTGAAATGCCTGTGGAACAGGACGCTTTCAAGGAATGGGGATATTCCAGTATGTTAAGAGAAGGATTCTGTCAGTTTAAGCATGTTTCACTAGAGTACTGCTCATTTTTTTTTCTTTAAAAAAAATCCAAACAAACACCACAAAAGAAACAAACCCCAACAAACCAGCAGAGCTTCTGAAAGGCTTTTCTACAAAGCATAATGGAGTGCTAGACTCTTATTTCCTCTTTCTTTTAATAGCAATCATGTAAAAAGAATTAACAGGGTGTTCACTTCTCTTCCCACATGATAGCTGACAAATTGTTTTATTTCTGAAGCAGACTGATACATGCACTTCAAGTTGAGTATAAAGTATGCAATGGTCTGTTTGGTCAGTGATTAAGGATGGACCCAGCCCAACAGGCAGGATGGAGCTTATTCAAAGCTCTGTCAGAACTGGTAATCAACCTCTGACTGTCAAAATACAATCCCACTGAAGAATACAATGAGAAATGCATGAAGACAGCCATTTTGATATAGTTCTTAGAGGCAGGTTGATCTAATTAATAGTGTCAGAAGCAAGAAAAAGCTGGATGGACCTAGCTCCAGTTAAAACCCAAAGAGCATTTTATTATCTACCTCATGGCAACGGGCCCTGTGGACTAAAGCAGGAACAGGGACATACAGTAGCTGATTGGCTCACCAAGTATTCCAGCACTACGTCTGGAACAGACTAGACAGGGGTGCACACAATGCCATCTTTTGTTTCTTACTTTCCTGCAGTGAAGAACAATTCCCTTCACATATTTTAAAAGGATGTGCTATGATGAGAGCAGAAGGCACTCCCATCCTACTCTATAATAAACTACAATACAGTCTACAGTTATCTTAGCAACTCATAGTGACCTTAGCAGTTTCCCCCCCTATTTCCAATAGTACAAGGAAAGTAACATACATTTCTAATAGTACAAGGAAAGTAACATACAACAAAAATAGGTTTAGTGCCTTTTCTTAGCCCTTTATCAATACTACAGTTGTGTATCCTTCCTAAACCTGTAAACATTTAAACTGTTTTCTGTAAAAATATGAAACAAATGAGTGAAGACTGTGTATACATACAAAATTTAAGTTCGGCACCCTCCACATCTCCCTTTAGGAAACATCAGCATAAAAAAAAAAAAATGCTTCCAACCCTGATATACTACTGCATTAGCAGGTTTGGCTCCAGAGGCTGGCTCTATATCAAACCCATTGTTAAAGAGCATAATAAAAATAAAAATTACTTTATCAATTTAAATAGAAGTTTGAATGATTAAAACAACATAAAAAGCTTTGGTTTTAATATAGACTACTCATTTTTTTCCCTCCCAGAACCTTAACTCTTCCTCTTTCCTCTAATCCCAACTTTGAAGGCATTCATTAAGAGTTGCCTAATGAATACAGACAAGTCTTTGCAAAAGCATCTGAAAGATGCCCAGCAGAAAAAGGGTACAGGAAGTACTGGTGCTTGCAGCTAAGACTTATATTACAAAAATATACATTTCTGAATTTTAAGCAATTTTCTTTAGACTGGGGACTCTCATACAAGCTTTACTGTTCAATCAAAGTTGTCAGATTGCACAACAAACAGTGAAAGGCAAGAATCTCTGTTAAAGAACAATATGTAATCGCCTTTTAATAGGGGGAAGAAAAAAGAAAGCCCAAACACTTGCAACACTGTAGCTTAGCCTACCCTGCTCTATTTGGTGCAGTTGTAGTAACAATAAACTAGCTAAATGTCAAGTGAAAAACAACTTGCTTTACAATTTGCTCATTCAAACCAGGCTTTTCTTATACCAACAATACAAACACATGCTGCTGTCCTAACACTCAGGTCAACTCTCCCAGAAAAGAACCGGAGTACTTGAATAGTAGGGTCATACTCTCAGCTTACAATAAATAATTCTTACAAATAATACAATAATAAATATACTGGAGACAAAATTAGGGAGTACGAATTTTGAAGCATACACGAGACTGGCTAAATAACATTGACAAACCATTCTCTTATGGGTTTCCATTTCCTTGCTTCAACATTAACCAGCCTGGTAACAAAATCAAGACCTCATCCTCTGAACTAGCTCACATAAGCCAAAAAGTCAGCACGCCTGACTTTCTATATACATATGTCACCTTTTAAATGTTTAATATGCCCTAAAGTACCATTTTTGCATTTTGTTGCTTTGATGTAGTAACAGATGTACTGTTTTTGTTGAACTAGGCTTTGTTCTCGTTGTTGCTCTCTCCATAACAAGGCTCTTTGGGTATGGTTAGGAGAGCAGGCAGTTTTTCTTGGTTGTAAATTTCTAACCACTTTCCCTAGTGGTAGCTACAAGAGGCAACCTCAATCATTGTGTTCTTTCCTACTCTAAGAACAAATCTGTCCGGTACTGTGAACCTTTTTCAGCTCATCAGAAACAAAACTCCATGTCAGAAAAATATTCAGACTTGGCTGGAAAAAGAAAAGGAATCAAGTAACGAAATAAAGAAAGCTGTTAAAGGTACACTGTATGTATATGAGAGATAACCTTATGCAAGCATGCAATCACTTCTGAAGTTCTCTATATGAAGAAAGTCTCCCTGAAAAGCTATCATATGACAAACTGACAAATCTTTCTTTCACATATTAGTTTTTTTAGGGTCACCTGGGAAGACAGAATACCTGTGTTGAAAAGCATAATGAAAAGTTATTAAACTGCTCTTCAGCAGTCGAAAGGCTTAATACTTAAGCCCTAAAGCCTTTCAGCAAAACTGAAGAAATCCTTACCAGTCCATTAGTATGATTACACATGTCCCATAAAGGTATTAGAGCCAATGTAACTCTGGAACCATCTTCTGTTGGAATCTGGTTCTGCCGTGTCATGACAGAGGAAACTGCCCATCTACAAAAATTAAAAACATTAGATGGCCAATGTTCAAAACACCAATATATGATTGGCTGTAGTCCAACCTCAAGCAGACATTTGAGCTGGGAGTTTCTGAACTTTGTTTTTTTACTGATCACACTGGCTATAGTAACAGTAGAAGGCAACACCGCTTGCAGGAGAAGCAGCAGCTCCCAGGTTCCCAAGACATGCACGCAGACCAATCTGCAAATAAGGACTGCAATCCCACCCCTCTTCTGCGCTCTTTGCAGCAGAACCTTCATACCTTCCAATGTTACCTCGACCAGGGCCCACCCCCGTGTCTGCTGCTGCTTCCCCTGTCCTTCGCTGAACCCCTACCTCTCCCCACGCACCCCAATCCCGGGGTCAGCGATCTCTGCAGGCTTCAGAGCAGCCCCCAGCCACAGCTCTGCTGCGGTGGCTCCCATCTGTGTGCAGACTCTTGTGAGAGCCAGGACATATTCCTCCCATTCCTCCCTGAAAAGCTTTTGGACTGCATGATCTGGAAACCAGTCACCAAAATACCAGGGGTTTATCAGGTGATAAGTGCTTCTCTTCAGCTGGCAAACTTTTGATTAGATCAGTATTCCTAAATTTTCTGCTTAACAGAATAAGAGGAGAAAAAAGCCCAAATACTCCAAACAGATAGCCAGGTAAAAAAATAAGAAAGTAGAACATAGTTTGGCAAGCAGACACCATTCAAAAACATTCCAAGTCAGGTTAAGCAAATGACATACCAAATACCCATTCAAAAGTAAGAATCTTCAGAAAAGCTTAACATTTCAGCATTTTCCAAAAGCCCATTTAAATTTTTATTTAGAAAAAATAATATTAGTTTCACTATATTTTGTCTTTAAAACATATTATTTGTGGCTTTTTTGAAGGGGGGTGGAGAGGAAGAAATACCACCAAGAGAAGGAGAAGGTCAAACTAACTTTAACTCCCCCAGACTCCACTATTAACCCGTGTTTAAAAGACAGAATTACTTTCAGAAGGATTTTTTCAGAAAACTACAGATGGCTTAGGAGGATAACACCAAATTGAAATCTACTTAATTTCTAAAAAAAGTAAGTTAAAATTTTGGATCATCTTGATATACAAATACTGTTTGAGACATAATAGCAATATGTTTCTTTTTAGTTGTTGTAATGATCTGCAAAATTTTAGACCACTTCACATGTAAGTTGGCGTGTTCCTCAATGACCCTATAAGTAAAGGAAGCATTCTTTGGAAATCCTGCTTTCACAGACCTACCCAGAAGTATGATTAGACTAAAAAAAAGAAATCCCCGTAAGCCCTAATTAATGCCTTTTATTCATGTTATTTTAATCAATTAACAAAATTAAAGCCCTCATTATTTTAATTATTCTTATTTTTGTCTTAATTTTGCCACCCTGTGTAGCATCTCCAAGTGACACTCATGCTTCATGTGTACAGCTTAAGTTCTCCAGCTCTCCTGTTCAACAGTCACTATAAATATTAGTAATTACTATCTGCTGGTAAAGCCTTCTATATAAAAAAAAATAAATTAAAAATTCCCCAAACCCAAACCTCAAACTTCCTGCAACGTCAACGGAATTATTTTCTTAAGAAACAATGAATTACTTTACTCATCTCAGACTACATGTGCCAGTTGGCTGAACTAACTGCTCATAATGACTATTCCTTTGTAACAATTAAAATCTGCATATTTATTTTACTTTCTTCCTCATTAAGTGTATTAGTATCAAATATTACATTTAACATCTCATTAAAATTAGGGCTTTCCCACCAATGAAGCATTTCCGGGGCCCCAGAGTCCACTCTAGATATATAAATATCAAAAAATGAAATAAAGAAAAATACTGAAAAGACAGACCAACCTGTAGTCATCATAAGTGAAAGAATCCTTTAATGGCAGTTTGCTGGCATTAGGATGGGTCTGGGAAATGCGAGTTTCAGAAAAAGGTGAGAAGAGAGAAAAAAGAGAAATCAGAAATCAGTCAGCAGAATTTCATTATTTAGCTGCCTAACAGATCCTAACAAGAGCCAAATGAAGCAGGAGGCGTCCAGCCGCGCTACAGAGGGATCATCATGCTATTATGCTCTCATACATCACTGTCAACTTAATTTGTTGTGCCCAGCAGCCGCCATAAATCTGCTTCTTCATATTTCAAGACTGGAACCCACAGAAACCGTAAAAAAATAAAAAATTTAAGGTGGACTGAGTATGTGAAGGTAAGCCAAAATCCTGCCCTTGACGCAGGGTGAGGGGAAGAAATCAGACAGTAAGCATTGACATATTTTTCACCAACTTTCATGCTTTCATTTCTGGGATATCAGTAAGGTATTTCAGAAACACGACAAAAAAGATAAAATATTGTTCGTCCTTTCCTCAGTACGTGGAGAGGCGTTATTCAGTAAAAGTTGCACTACACCTCTGAAACAAAACAGATTAAAATATTTAAATAGCTTTGGTGACAAACACCGATTAGACAGTATCTACATTAACCTACCTACACATGCTCTTATCTACAAGTGGAGCAATGCCATTTGTGAATGCACACTGTAGTTGCCATTAACAAGCACAATATTTAGATTTTAAGGCAGCTTTAAGAAGCTGTAATACCTGTTACTTTTCTGATCGACTAGCTCGTTGCAAGTTCCAAAAATGCAGATAGTTTTGAGCCTACACACACTCTCTTTAGAACTTTGTTCCTACTCACAAACGGAAAGCTATGATAGCATAAATTTTAATCTTTGGGTTCAATTAGGTCTCAGAGATGAATTGAAGTAAATGATCAAATCGTTATTTCAGAAGATACAAATGATTTTTTTGCATAGCAATCTTTGCAACACTTTTAATGCATGAAGCTCCATGTAGCATGCAGTTTTTTACTCTTGACGCATTAGCATCACAAGTGCATGGTAATTTATCATTTCTCACTGTAATGTACTTGCTGGCACTGTGTGCAGGACAGTAGGGGATGAGGTAAAAGTGGCTCAAATCGTAAATCAATTAGAAAACAAAAGCTTGCGCTCAGTGTGCAATTTTAGGCAAATTATATATTACAAAAGACTGCCAATTGGGTGTTAGGTCCCAGGTGCCTGTTCTCCCTCAGCCCCTCCGGTTAACCCTTTGGACGGGCTTCCTGAGACTTGACAGGAGTCATTCCTGCGACTCCTGGCCCCTCCCTTACTTTTTAATCCTTTTTTTGTTTTTAAAGCACTCGACGCTGCCGTAAGATTTTCATTCATTGATGACGCAGTCGTTGCAAACCAAAATTCCCTCGAGTTTAATTGTAACAAGGCATTACACAGTCATTTCTTCTGACAAGCCCATTCGGTACAGCACCAGGACTGAACCCAAAGCAAGACCTTTCAGGAGGTATCTTCGCGCCAGCAGAGCTGTTCAGACTCGATTCTAGAAATGAACGCAGAAAACTTAGCCTGGAAAGAATTGTTAAACTCAAACACCGCCTTATAATATTCCTTTATGACAATTTAATTCCCATGTTTTTGCTAGCGCTATTAATCTGTTCTACAGTCGCTTGCTAAGCGAAGCAGGGCAGGTCAGCGCGGGCGAAGAGAGAGCCAAGCCTTAAGAACGCCGCAACCTTCTCCGTGGTTTCGCTGGGCTGTGAGAGCAGGCGGGATCCCCCCGCGCCCGAGATTCCAGGAGATTCGCCACGGAGGGAGAAGCTGCCCCCCC